AGATGTAGATATCTATGGGCCGCAGCAAACACTTACCATAAGGTGGACTGTGTGTTCGTTTGCCACCCTATCCTATAAAAAAATAGCACATCCTGCATGGAGCACTCACATTGCGGGATGGTCGGCGGTGTGTATCCCCCGTCATCAATAGTCGAGTTGAACGTAAAGAGAGAGCCCAGTAGTCATCCTCCCGGTGCAGTTATGGAAGAGATGGTTGGCTGAAGTTCTCTTGAATAGCCTCGGCGAGAGACCAAAACGTACGTGTTCGCGAAGGAAGACGAACAAGTTTTTCGCTAATTCTATCCATGTGCTCTGACTTTACCTTGACAATGACACTTTCGAAAGATCTGAAAGCAGAATTATATTTGTTTTAAAGAACGCTGGTATTTACATTCAGAGACGTCGATGCGCAAGGCCAGGCCTGGTAACACTCCTGCTTATGAAGTAATGCAATTTTGCAGTAGCGATCAAACCAAGGCTGGGTTCTGCCTCCGATAGGTACCACAGACGATGAAATAAATAATTTCATTCGCTGTAGCACTACATCAGCGACAAAATCAGCAACAACGCTGGGATCATCCGGCGAGAAAAAAAAACCCGCCCCCAATGGTAGGATGCAAAAAAAAGATCGCATCCCATCCCAATCGGCTGACCTATAATGCCAAACACGGCAGTATCCTGCAGTACGCAACCGCGATGGGAGCGTGAGTGGTACCGTACTCTGGATCAGGCAATAGTCCGAGGAGTCAAGAGGGGCATCAATGGAGACCTGAGATCCGTCCAGATGAGAGGTCAGCAGAAGGTACATGAACTTTCACATCTGGGATCCGCATAGGCGTGGTAACCAGTTGTGTCTGACCATATGCCAAAGCAGAGTCATAAACAGATCTACCCGCACGATCGGTTAAATTAGAACCAAACCATTCAGCATGGTGGGCCTTAAAATTACCATATATCACGATCTCTGCGGATGGGAACTGTTGTAGCACGGAGTTTGCATCCATCTGGACGTGGTCGATAAGTCGGTCTTGGTCAGCATCACCGCTATGGAACCTATATAGGCACCCGTAGATGCGGAGATAGTCGTCCCTATCTACGTGTAGTCATAAGGTGGACAGGTCCATCCCTTCAAGGCTGCCGAGGCGTCGATAACAGATGTCCTCTCTGAAGTACACGAAAACTCCAGCATGGGGCACAAAAGAGTCTTCTAAAATGTACCCCGGGTAGATGAGATATAACGTGTCAGCCGGAGAGGACATCTGTGTCGCGGTTCGAAAAAGCAAGGCCGGCTTCGCCATTTTCAAGTAGTAGTGGACGGTGCTAAGGTTTGAATGAAGTACCCTGATGTTGCAGAAATCCACGGATAGCGTGTCAGGGGGCGCCTTTGATTTATTGCTCAATTTGCCCCGAGCAGGTTTAGTCTTGGGCGAAATTTTGCCCCCGCCCCCCAGAATACGAGGGGCAGCCTGGGCACCCATGCTCAGGAAGAGTACGGGAGTTTGGGCGTGGATGCTCAGCGAGGGATTATCCGTCACCGTGGGTGCTGGTACCCTCCTGGAGTAGTGTTATATTTAACTCCACTACCATGTTAAGGGGGTGGGGGAATTGGGCCTCCGGCCACCTGCATGCACCAAACGAAATGCAGAAGCAAATTTTCTACTTTCCGCCGGTCTTCGGTGAGGTCGTGGTAATCACCCGGTTTGAGCCGGCCCATACGTGCAACTGCAATGTCTGCTGCGTGGCTCTACCACTGTTTCTCAAAAAAAAAATTAAGGTTCAGTTACTTGATGATAAACTTTTATATGACCATTTAAAAACCCTATACTCTAAGCGACACGACTTCATATTTACCATTCATCAAGAATAATATAATGTGTACATACCTATCTACGAGTTTGAGGAGTATTATTTGACACTTTTTGGGATAACATTCTATTTATATTTAATTAACTGTTCATTTTATTCATTCAAAGAGATAGAAATTTACAAACCTCGTTGGTCCCCTTAAAAATAAAACTTCTAAGAAAATTTAAAAGTAAACCTGTTTTCATGCGACAATTTCTTTTGTCTCCACGTTTTGTTTACTCTGCAATTGTGAAAGCAAACAATACAAAAAAAAGTTTGAATTTCTCTAACAACCTAGGCCAAAGTCAAAGTTTTAATTGCTTGGGAATAAGTCCATACCTAACCCTGGTTAAAGCTGTATTGGTTAAGTTTGTTGTTAGAAGTTGGAAGGTTTTCAACTCATTATTTGAACTTTAAACTTATACTTAAAGATGGAGGCAAAGAATATCTAAAATATTCTTTGCCTCCATCTTTAAGTATAAGTTTTATTCTATAATAAACTATTTTCATTTAAATACTTATGTCATAGGTCCTGTGTTCTTGATTCGGCATCAAACCTCACTCTGAAATCAACATTATTCCAAAAAATATTGATAAATTAGTATATGGTTTCCTTGCGATTATATCCATGTCCTCTCCATCGCAACCGAATTGGAATCTGATGAACTCTGATTACAGTAGACATGAGAAAAAAAGCAACTACCTAAGTAATTACGTGATTACCTGTCATACAGCAATATGACCTTTTAGAGATAGGATAGGATGCAGTGATAGCAAAGTTAACATCATCTATATTACAGCCCTTCACAAGTCCACTGCTGAACATAGGTATCCCCCAAGTAACGCCACAAAGCACGATCCCGAGCTACCTGCATCCATCGACTTCCTGCACGTCTTACCAGGTCGTCACTCCATCTAGTGATGGGTCGCCCTACACTACGCCTACCGGAACGAGGCTGCCACTCGAGAACCTTACTTCCCCATTGGTTATTGGTTCTTCGAGCTATATGGCCGGCCCATTGCCACTTCAGCTTACTAATCCGTTAGGCTATACAAGGGGTCCCGGGTTCTCCATTTGGAACGCAACTGGGGTCCCTCATCACCCTGCCCCCAGCACCTTCGCAGTGCTACCACAATGTCTCGAGACCACTTTAGAGTCATCGTCCTCCTTGGGGTAGGGTTAGGGTCCTGGTAGGGGAACACCGTTTTCAAGAGAAGGGCCGTGAAGAACGTCTTGACAACGTCATCTCTGAACGGGATCCGCCCTCATCTGATCTCGCTAGAAAAGATTCTACAGACGCGTCGGTGTAAGCTTTTTAACGGGCCGGGCCGTAGCCAATGTCTAGACGGTGGCTACGACTCTCCACGCCGAATAACCGCTCAGCATCACTAACACGACAGCAGGGAGAGGTTCCGTTCGATGCAGTTTATCAGGATCATCCACTACCGTTACCATGCTGGGCATACCGCGAGCATATGGGATGCGGAGTTCTGGTTCCGTCCTCCGTGTTGGAAACCGTTTGCCGTCGCCTCGCATCCATTCTTGCACAGATAATCACTGAAGCACTACTACTACCAGTAATTATCTATGTAAGTCTTTAGATGAGTCTTCTTACACGTCGCTGCATCCAGGCTTCGAATACCGACAGGATGGCTCCAATGACGGGTTTGTGTTCTCCTCGAGTTGAGTAAGTCATGTCGCCAGAGTGTTTTGTCGTTCCTGCCGTTTAATTGATTAGAGCGTCTCTTCTGTCTCACTACCACCGCTCTTGCGGAGGGCACGGATCTAAACGTACACCCTCGCGTCGATGGAAAGTGAGCCAGGATTTTTGCTACTTTAAAGGATATAGTGTAGTATCCTCGTACGACTCGTATGACCATCCTCCGCTGGACACTGTAGATTTTAGTTCTACAGCGTCGAATGGCCAGCCTAACAAGATCGAGCCCATACAGGTGCTCCATACAGAGCTGCGGACCGTATAACTCCCGCAAACAAGCGAGGTACTTTCTTCGTCAGTCCTTCTAGGTTGGTGCCCCTTGGATAGTAGTCTACGCGTAGCACCCGCCATCCTTTTGATCCACGGCACTAGGTACGCAATATGTTCTTCGAAGCCCCAGTGACTGTCCAGGTAGAGTGAAAGATACTTCATGTACCTCCCACCCTGATTTCAGACCTACTCATGAGACCGAGACTCTATGGTTCCATAAATTACTACGGCGCACGGGTCTGTTGGTTCCCTTCCCTGTGGTAATTTATAAAACCATAGGGCCTCGATCTTGTTAGGCGCTATTTCTAAACCTAACTCATGGGTTAGTCGAAAGTTGTCCCGCTGGCAATCACCAATGTGTCGTTGGCATAACACACGATATTAATGCCGGCGGCAAGGTCAGCTCGCAGAACCGCATCGTACGCGAGGTTCCACAGTAGAAGACACAGCTCCAAGAAATGTGGATCTCCCTCTGGATCTTCCTGCCATCTTGCTCCATGTACGGGATGTACCTGTCGCGCAAGTAGTTACCGATAATACACTGCAGGAAGGGTGTGCCTGATGTTGTACCAGTGCCCTCCTGATTGCGTCCCAGGCTAGGGTGAATCAAAAGAGTTGATGATATACAGACTAATCGCCAACGTCACGCCACCTAGGGATACCGTTTGATACGGGAGCGTTCCACTGTAGACGCGATTACGCACGTCCACTCCTTGTTGGAACTCAAACTGGCTATCAGGCAAATCGAGACCGACAAGTGACAGATGTCTATTGAGCGGAGTGGCAACTATTCTCTCGAAAAATTTGCCAATCTTGTCAAACAGGCATATAAGTTGGTTCGCAGAGGGAGAATCAGCGGCCCTGCCCTCCTTCTTCAAAGGGACCAACTTTACCTCTTTGCAGGCTGTGGGGAACGTGACATACCACACACAGCCGGTAAACAGCTGCCTGAGCTTGTCCCCCAGGATAGCCAGACTTAGCAGAGCTCGGTTTATTAAGAAGACGGCAAGTGAACTGAGGGACTTGACCGGTCCTCTGGGAAGAACGTGCCAATTATCCTTCCCAGAAGATCCAGATCGAAAGTCTCCGTCAAGGGGAGCGAGGGGAGCTCTACGCTTGGAGCGATTGGTTATGGGCATTAACAAGTCGCAAATTTGCGCCATTGTAATGATAGGACCGAACTTCTTCGGCATTTTCTGGCCAGGACGCAACGATGGCGTCGGCTTCGAGATTGTCTTGGTTGAGACACTTGAGACACCACCGCCACAGTTAGCCACTTCCCCGGAGCTGTCGAAGTATGACAAGCTGTCAAAATGCGACATCGAATACGATGTGGCGGTGTTCAGACGATGTGACCATCCCCTTCGCCACTCGCAAGCCCGACAATATTTGCATTGTTGGAGGATTTGCGGATACATGTGTTAACGGACCTCTGATTTATTATCCGGAGGTTTAGGAATTAATCCCAGTTACCCAGTGGGCCTAAACAAGTGGCAATCGTTCTGTGTTCAATCCATTTCGAAAATCGATATCGTCTTAGCGACATCGAACGTAAAGTGATAGACAAAGTGACATCGGCAAACCTAACGCTAAGTTGAAGCATCCATTCGATAAAAACAACGTCTAGTATCGGTATGGTCTCGAAATGAAACTTCAAATTCAAGACGTCAATTTTGTTAACCGGGGTACGCTAAATATAAACAAACTATATATTTATAACTTGTTAAAGTAAAGTTTGCTTGGTGAAAGTGAAGTTATTGGTGTTAGAATTAACTAGTAAACTACAGAATTTAAGGGTAAGTTTATTAACTTCGTAAATTATTTGTGATTAACAAAATTACAGAAGTTTTTGAATATCAATTAATGTGAGCATATCACATATTTATAACGATAAAAAAAGCGGGAAATGGCAGGTTTTTTTTTTCATTTTTAAGTATTATTACGATGGAACTACAAGCGCGAGCCAGTGTTGAACAATTTTCGACCATTTTGAAGTTAATGGAAAAACAAGGAAGTATTCACCTAAATCAGGAACTTGATTAAATTTAAATTACTTGAGAATTCTCAATGTAAACAATGACGTGACCTTAACAGTTCGTTACTTATTGCCCTATTCTTTGTTCAATTGCATCCTCGACGATCTAATCCACGAAGTGGCCTTCAAGGGCACTTGAAATCCAAGCAGCTGTGGTGCGAGTTAGTGACAATATTGAATTCAATCGGTGGTGGAGTAAATAAATTGGCAGAAAAATGGAAAAAAGATAACAGGTTTTGAACAGCTATATATTATATTAATAATCACTTTATGCTTTACTATATCTATATAAACCATCTACTATTTAATATACTCTATTACTTATTACCTAACTTTCCTATATGTTGCTTTTCGTAGGTTTTGGCAGATTGAAAGTCGAAAACAAAAAAACATCGCTAATAAGGTGTCATGAATGTAGTACCGGTGGTGGACTGAGTAGTCGCCAAACCTTCACGACGTTTGAGGAAAGGGTGTTGGCTATCATGGGAAATTTGACTGTGGAGGGTCAGCTAAGCATTCAAGAACAAGGTTTTGTAAGTATTGCACTTCTTCCATTTAAATTATGGGTCAACCGATCACTTGAATATTTAAAAACATGTGCCTACCTATATAATCAAATGGAAAATTATTTCAATGCGTACCTAGTATAAAGAAATAAGTAATATCACAAGAGCTTTTTTTGACATGCAATGTTATGGTCAAGTTTAACATAAATGAAGATTTCAAGTCATTTTTTGCAGGGAATATCATAATTCATTCCATCGCCAATACAGGAACTGAGTCCACCACCAGCCGCGCACCAACACGACGTGATTGATTTTGAAATCACAACAGCCGATAATACGTCTACCTTCATCTAAATATTTTACAAATAATTTATTAAGTATGTATGTCAATACACGTTCATTTTTTTTATAAAATCTAGCAATATCACCACCCTCACCTGCTACTTCTACACAATCTACTAGCTGGCAGTGATCGCACACAAACATCAACACACAGGCATCAACATCGCAAAATCGATTCGCGAGAAGGAGTTCAAGGGTGCAACCTGTACCTACCCCTCCGTCGAACAGCAGGCAACTGTTACCATCAACCTGGAGATCTAGGGTAACGGCTTTTTCTACAGGAACGACACTAAGGGCGCGTCGGAGGCGTATACTCACGCCATTATATATAGAGACGAGCGAGTTCGTTGCCATCGAACATCTACGTCTTCAGCAGGAAGAGAAACGAGACAGGCAGCTGTACGATCTGTACTTGAAGGATAGACCACTTTGACCACTAGCGTAATCAAGTGTTACGAATGTTTGCAGACATTTCGTAAGCATGGTTTGACCACTATCGGAGTAAGGACAATACAGAGCAATTAGACCATACTCCACAGGTATAACATTACATCACGCCTGTAATTCATGAAGCGTTAGGCAGAGTTTTACTGCCCATCTACAAGTCGCCAATTATGTTTCTAGTCCCAAGTAATATAATCCCATGGCCAACCGGGCACAAATTGAAACTCTACACTGCCCAACTCGTGGATCAAACCCCCGAACTCACGCTTAGATATCGGCTACTACTGAAATTTGTCCGTAAAAGCAAGTAAATATCATATTTTCAACAGCTTTAAAGATTTTAAATTTGTACTTAGTTACGCGGAGTCAACGAATACTCTCGCATTTTGTTTAGTTGATTAGTAATCTAGCCAGTGCCTTCCTCTATTCTACACACATACCTTTTCGCGCGCTGAAGGGGGGGGGAAGAAGCTAAATTATGTGGCGTGATTTTTGTCGCCAATGAAGAAGCGTGCCCCCCGCCTAAATAGGAGTGGAGATGGTTGGCGAATAAAAAGGACGCCCGCTGCCACCGCTCGCTCTCTTGCATCGTAGTTAAAGCCAGCGCTAGTTGTGATTGCACCTCTTTGGCAGTCAGCCACAGAACAATGTAGAAATAACCACTTAGCATAGAACAAACGTCGCGCATCGCTCTTCAAACACAGTCGCAACACCAGGGGCATCATCCTCGAGGCCACTGAAGCAGAAGGAATCCCACACCGGTAAGTGCTCAATTAAATTATCTTGAGCTGTTTCTTATTATCTTTATTGTATCATCTTTCTCCCAGCAGCTCAAGTTGAATTCCATCACATTGCGCTGTGCATATAGATCTTGCCTGTGATTTAAGCACAGCCAGTTTCATGGGTGCATTTAAAACGTTCCTTTCTCGCCGTGGCCCTATAAGTAAAATAGACTCAAATAACGGTACGAACTAAGTAGGGGTGAAACATATTTTATCGGAATTACACTAATTTCTAACCTCTAGATATTATAATTCGGAGTTCGCTCACATCTTAGCTGTGAACCGCATCGAGTGGTCTCTGAACGTCGCCGCCGCGAGTCATTTTGTGGAGTTAGAAGACTAATATTAAGAGTCTAAAGAGTCATTATATCGAGTAATTGGAGATCAAATTTTATCTTTTGAAGAATTAAGGACCGTACTCGCACAAATAGAGTGCGTTGTAAATAGCTACCCCCCTTTGCCGTACGTTATCGAGTGACCCCTCGGAGCTGCTGGCTCTAACTCCAGCACATTTTTTGAATCTAACGCTTTTGTAATAGTAGTACTTACCACCTATATAGTATTTACCCCCTATATATAAAGAATAAATAATATACGAGGATAAATTTCATGTTCTTTCACGTCATAACTTATTAGACCGGCTAGTGCAGTCATTTTGAAAGCGATGGAAAACGGAATATCTACATACGTTGCAATCTCGGCAGAAATGGAACACAACTAAACCATTAAGAGTCGGAACGGTAGTTGTTCTCACCAAAGAAAACGCGCCGCCTCTTTATTGGCCGTTTATTAGGGACCGTCGAAGAGGTTTTTCCCGGATCTGACGGGGGTAGTTAGTAGCTTGTGTTAAGATCGTGGCCGGGTCATATATACGTCCTGTTGTCCGTCTATGCCCTTTGTCCAATCAATAGTTTCGAATTTCCCTTCTAGGCTTGATTAGTAGTTTAAATTAGATTTAGTATTTTGAAGTTTTAAGCTTTAGTTAGTTGAAAGGAACCCTTCAAGCCGAATGCGCGGAAAAAACGGGTACTCTCGCCTTTTGTTTAGTTGATTAGTAATCTAGCCAGTGCCTTCCTCTATCCTACCCACAACTTTTTTCGTGCATACTGTGGGGGAGAAATGAGGGGGAGAGAGGAAGCTAAATTATGTGGCGTGATTTTTGTCGTCAATGAAGAAGCGCGCTCCCCCGCTTAAATAGGAGTGGAGATGGTTGGCAAATAAAAAATAAAATAAAAAAAAGTATGCCCGCTGCCACCGCTCGCTCTCTTGCGTCGTAGTTGAAGATCAACGCTAGTTGTGACTACACTTCTGTGGCAGTCGACCACAGAAAAATCTAGAAATAACTGCTTAGCATAGTGCAAAGCAAGTCGCAACACCAGGGTCGTCCTCGAGGCCGCTGAAGCAGAAGAGACCCCGACCCGTTAAGTGCTCCATTAAATTATCTTGAGCTGGTTTTTACTTTCTTTACTGTGTCATATTTCTCCCAACAGCTCAAGTTGAATTCCATAATAGGGCACTGGCTAAATAATAGATTAGGCAATAGCGAGTGCATTGTCCAAGACTGCCACGTGCCACATCAGCCATCTTGTTTGGTTATAGAGAACTACGCATACAGTTCACAACAAAGTTGATCTCGCATAACAAATTTTGGCCCGACCCGGGAATCGAACCCGAGACCCTATCGCTCCACCATTTTCTGGTTCTTCGACCCGGTAATCGAACCCGAGAGACCCTATCGTTCCACCATTTATTTCCACCGGAATTGAATAGCTTCTGAAGGACATCAAGTACCGGTGTTCCACCCGCTTTCAGAAGCTCCGCTGTAATTCCATCCTCGCCTGGGGCCCTGCCGTTTTTAAGGTGCTGGAGAGCCATTCTAATCTCGCTTAGACTGACGTCCGGGATATCATCGGAATAGTGTCGGATAAGACTTGCTCTTGGATCGTTACTCACACTTGCGTGTGGCTCCAACGATGATGTGAACAGCTGCACATAGAACCTCTCAATCTCAATCAAAATCTCAAATGTCCCGGAAACGATGCTGCCACACTCAGTCTTCAGCTTTGACAGTTGGCTCTTACTGGCAGACAGATCTCTGGCAAAGACTTTGGAGCCCTGGTTCCGCTTGATCGCTTCTTTAATACGAGCAGTATTAAAGTTGCGTAAGTCTCGCCGCATGCATTTGGAGATCTGTCTGTTCAGTTGCCTGTATGCTATCAAATCTGTTAACGATTGCAGCTTCATCTCCCGTCTAACAGCTATGAGATTAAGAGTGTGATCGGAGAGTTTTTGTGTTCTTCTGCGGCGGGTCTTGCA